TCAACCTTGGCAACTTGAAGATGTCTGGACTTCAAGTTGCCAAGGTTGAGAAACACTGGTCTAGAACAATAATAAAGCAGTCTTTAAAAAAATAAGTCTAACAATTTGAACATTTCATAAGCATTTATAGTTGTTGACTTACTTCCTTGCAGCAAACAGCCTGATTAGCATAAGAAAAAAAATCTGCCTCACAGCAATTTGCCATGTGGAGCAAACAGGTAGTTTCACTTTCAGTTTCTCTGGATCATCAGCTGTTAGAGGCTGCAGGGATTGCTATAGCTTATTGAAGCCTCTGCAAGCCCCATTTGCTGCAAAGAGGTAAATTGCTGGGAGGCAGAGGCAGATATTTTCCCCTTGTTTTCCTCCCCCAAATCTAGGAGCGTCTTATACTTCAGAGCGTCTTACACTCCGAAAAATACGGTAATTGTTCTCACTGTTAGGAAGTTTCTCCCTTATTCCAGGTTGCTTCACTTCTTGATTAGTTCCCATCCATTGTTTCTTGCCTTGCCTTCTCCTGCTTTGGAAAATAAGCTGGGGCCCTCTTCTTTGCGGCAGCTCCTCCAATATTGGAATATTGCTATCATATCACCCCTAGTCCTTCTCTTCTCTAGGCTGGCCATACTCAATTCCTGCAAACGTTCTTCATTTTTTAAAATCTCCAGTCCTTTAATCATCTTAGTTGCTCTTCTTTGCACTTTTTCCAAAGGCTCAACACCTTTTTTTGAAAGGTGTTGACCAAAACTGGATGCAGCATTCCAGGTGTGGCTTTACCAAGGCTCTATAAAGCAGTACTAAGACTTCACACAAGACTCAAATAGTCCATGATTTATGATCGTGGTTGGGACCAGAATTTCAGTTGCTGAGCAAAGTGACTGTTAACCGCAGTGATTTGCTTCACAACTGTGGTAAGGAAGTTTATAAAACTGAGTTGCACTCAAGTTCATAAACTTCCTTGCCACAGTTGTGAAGCAAATCACTGCAGTTATTAAGGGAATTACACAGCTGTTAAATGAACCCCACTTCCCCCATTGACTTTGCTTGTAGAAAGCCAGCCAGGAAGGTTATAAACGGTGGTCACGTTACCCTGGGACGTTACTGCAGTCGTCACAAATAGATACCAGTTGCCAAGTGCTCAAATTCTGATTGTGGGAAGGATGGATGCTGTAATAATGTGGTGCAGTGGTGGTGGAGCAGTGGTTAGAATGCGGTACTGCAGGCAACTTCTGCTGACTGCCAGATGACTGCAATTTGGCAGTTTGAATCTAACCAGGCTCAAGGTTGACTCAGCCTTCCATCCTTCCGAGGTGGGTAAAATGAGGACCCAGATTGTTGGGGGCAAGAGGCTGACTCTGTAAACCGCTTAGAGGGGCTTTAAAAGCACTGTGAAGCGGTATATAAGTCTAAGGGCTATTGCTATAAGTATGAGGATGCTCATAAGCCATTTTTTTCAGTGCCATTGTAATTTTGCCATATTCGGAACTTCTTTCTTCTTAGTGTGATTTATACACAGCTACAGGTGCCATATTAATCTCTGGTTTGGCTGGCTTGCTCTGTGTCATAGATGGCATTTCAGAAATCTAGCTTGATTGGGAATGTGTGTATCTGAATGGTTTTGGTTTTACTTTGTGCCTCTGGATCTGATTACTCCTATATTTATTCCCTTCTTACAGGCAGATTTCATCACTTCAAAACCAAACTAAATGTACTGGTACTCACTTTTCTGGAACCCTATTCTGCACTTCCAAAAGCATCAGGCAGAAGTGTCACATGATATTTAACTTTTAAATCGGGGGTTAAAACAATTCAATGTATTTTCAAAGCACAAAAAGAGCACATGGAGGTAGCATTTGAACACATCCCATGGCTTTACTTGAAGCCTATGGAAATGGTATGAGAGAAGGAACTTGGGAGACAGAAGGAAGAACCACAGACTGGACTTCCACCATGGAAAAAATATCTTTAGCCCAGTGGTCCCCAACCTTTCCGGCTTGGTGGCCTGGCATGTGGTGGGAGGAGGGGGGGATAGTTCTGTGTGAGTGGCAGGTGTGCCACTCCACACCAGGCAAGCGCATAAGCACAGTCCATTTGCACAAGTGCAAGCTTCTGCCAACTCGCGCGTGCAGCTCCACTTGTGTGAGCAGTGGGTGCTTGCGTAGGTCCATTCATGCAAGTGGACCTGCCTGTACAAGTATCTTCCACTCACGTGAGTGGAGCTGTTCACACACGCTCGCATGCCACTTGTGCTGCCCGTTTCCATGTTGTGCACAGCCCGTTAGTAAGCTGCTGCCTGGGGTTTGGAGACCCCTGTTTTAACTGGCAGTAGGAGGAAGGATGTGAGAGAAGGGACCCTGTCTTATTTTCCAGACAGTAAAGAGAAAGAAATACTGAGAATACTATCAGTCTTGCAACATTCTCTTAATGCAATTTTACAAAAATGATACCAGCTAGTCCTCTTAACTATCTCACAAGGTGTCTTACAGGACTCAAAGCATTTCTTCCCTTTTCCTCCTTTCCCCACTTTCTTCTCCTTCTGTGAACGCGCCAACTGTCCAATCTTGGCTCTCCCTCCCAAGGCCATTCTCACATTTCATTACACCTACATTCTCTTCCTGTTTTCTGAGTTATTTTACCTTTTGCTTTGCCTTCTTATGGAATCACTCAGGATCTATGGAGCTGCTTCCTCCATGACAGAAGGCCCTGTGCTTGAAGAGGAGTAGGGGAGAAAGAGAATAAACAGAAGAACAGAATTAAACCCTATAATGATTTGGTGGATAGGCTCTGACTCAGCAGGGTTTCTCTTTGGGGACAAACCAAGGATGATTGGCAGAAAAAAGAATGAGTTAGTTGAGAGAGAGATTCAAGAAGAAAATTGCTCCGTGCAAAGCATCAACTGAAATAATTTGTGGCGTCAAACCAAGGAGAGCGTACTTTCTCTTCCCCCGCTCCACCCCGAGTGCATAGCCTAAAATACTAGCCATTCTGATAAGGATGCCCTGCCTTCTGCCAGTAAAAAGAGAGAGAAAATAAAAGAAGTAAAGGAGGTTTTTGCTGCTTTTTATGGCAGCCAAAACCATCTGCCTAAAGCAGTTGCCTCACCCTATCAAATGGGAGAGCTGGCCACAAGGTTGAAACTGTCAAAAAAGCAAAGAAAGGAATTCAGAGATCGTAAAACCAGCAATCCCTATCTCCATTTCCATCGTTACCTGCACTGCTTGTGTCGGAGATCCTTGCCAAAAGCTGTCATTTTAGAGGTTGAGAAGGGCTGAAACGCTGACACAATTTTTGTAATGTTATGTTGATTTAAAGCAGGGGTGGTGGTGTCAAACTCGATTTCATTCAGGGCTGCATCAGGGTTGTGTTTGACCTTGGTGTGTGTGTGTGTGTGTGTGTGTGGCCAGCTCGACATTTGTGTCGGTGCCTGTGGTGGCCTGAGCCCTTTGCCAGATAAAGCGGGTTCCCAAGCTCCGGTTTGGGCTGCAACGGCCTCCTGCAATCCTGTGCCAGCAAAAACACAGCTCGGGAGGGCTGCACCCTTCACTGTTTCCAGGGCGGCCCCGTGGGCCAGATCTAAGCACCCTTCAGGCCAGATCCTGCCCGCGGGCCTTGAGTTGAACACCCCTGATTTTAAAACAATGGCCATCAGGAATTTTATATGTTGCATGAAGTGCCTTATTCACAGATTATGTTTTTGTACAGTTGGGTTTTCTTCTTTTTAAAAAATGTGGGTGGATGACAGGAGGTTATTAAGAAATACTGGATTGTTGAGACGTAGGGCCAATTCTTGGCTCGGGGCTACATGAACAGCTTGTTATGCTGCTCCAGCGTTCCTCCCTCCACCCATATGTGAAGAATCTTTCCCTTGCTTCAAAGTAGCTAGGAAAGATGAGCTTAAAAGGTAAAGGTTCCTCTCTCACTTATATGCTAGTCGTTCCTGACTCTAGGGGCCGGTGCTCATCTCCATATCAAAGCAGAAGAGCCAGTGCTGTCCGAAGACGTCTCCGTGGTCATGTGGCTGGCATCACAATGCTAAAGGCGCACAGAACGCTGTTACCTTCCCACCGAAGATGGTTCTTATTAGTGGTGGGTTTCAGGAGGTACGCCCCGGTACGGCCATACCGATGCCTGCCAGGAGCATTGGATACTGTTCCGGTACGGTGCTCCAGAGGGTCCACCTGCCCACCCTCGTTCCTTACCTGTATTTGAAGGAAACGGGATATCTGTGCATGCGCGTGCAGTGTACGGTGCCTGCACGATGCTCTGCTGAGCAGCTGGAGCATTGTGGAGGCATCACAGAGTGTTGCAGGAGGTAAGGATGCATGCGCGCATTGCTCGTGTTCCTGTGGTGGCCACCAGGCTCCATTGCACCTTACCGGTTGCACCGGGATCCAGAACCCATCCCTGGTTCCTATTTTTTCTACTTGCACTTTTATGTGCTTTCAAACTGCTAGGTTGGCAGAAGCTGGGGCAAGTAACAGGAGCTCACTAGGGATTCGAACCGCTGAACTGCCGACCGCGCCCCTAAGTTAAGCTTAGTGCTACTCAATTGTACATGTCAGGGAGTCAGAAAATGTGACTCAATTTATGACCAAAATTGAGCTCAAATTTCCGTTGCTGAGTGAAGCAGTTGCTGAGTTTTGCCCCATTTTGTGACCTTTCTTGCCACAGTTGTTAAGTGAATCGCTACGGTTGTTAAATCGGTAACGCAGTTGTTAAGTGAATCTGGCTCCCCCATTGGCTTCGCTGATCCGAAGATCACAAAAGGTGACCACATGACCCCTGGACACTGCAACCCTCCTAAATACGAGCCCGTTGCCAAGCATCCAAATTTTGATCACGTGACCATGGGGATACTGCAAAGATCGTAAGTGTGAAAAATTGTCATATGTTACTTTTTTCACTGCCGTTGTAACTTCCAACAGTCACTAAATGAACTGTTGTAAGTTGAGGACTATCTGTACAGGTACTGTAGATACTGAAAAACAACAGATGGGATAGTTTGAAAAATGTAATATAGCTCAACACAGGTAGTTCTCAACCTATGACAATAACTGGAGCCAGAATTTCTGTTTTTAAGCAACACAATCGTTAAGTGAATGGTGCCTGATTTTATAAACTTTCTGCCATCGTTGTTCAGTGAATCATGCAGTTGTTAAGTGATTCTAGCCTCCCTTTTGCTTGTCAGAAACAAGCTGGGAAAATCACAAATGGTGATGACAACAGTTGCAGGGACCCCTGGACACATTATATAGCATTCATGAGTTTCAATTTTCAATTAGACTAGAAATGCGCCACCAAATCCTTTTTGGCTAGGATTTTGCTGAAATTCAGCAGCAATAGAGAGGAGAGTTCAAAAATTGGCTATAAAGATTTGGCCTTCTGGAATCCCTTATTGCTCTATGAGTCCCTTTCTTGACAGATGCTTCAAGAGCCAGGATAGCTGTACTCTTTTGCATGGCTGGAACACTTACAGCAATAGCATTTAGACATATACCACATTATAGTGCTTTACAGCAATTTACCATGTCAGAATATTTCCCCCAACAATCTGGAGTTCTCGTTTTACCAGCTTTGGAGTCCTGTCAGGATCAAACTCTTGGTTATGGGCAGAGTTAGCCTTCAATACTGCATTCTGAACACTGCTCAACCAGGGCTCACTTATTTGATAGCAATACAATAAACAGCCTATGCCAGGAACTGCATATTCTTCTTGCAATCGAGAACATGAAATATAACCTGGTTTGCTTAATATACTTTTTTGGTATTTAGGGGACAGGTAAAAGTAAGTGAGGAAAACAGACCTGGCTTGCAGGATATCCAATCCAACTGTGATAAATGGGCGATGTTGAAATGGAAAACCAAAAGATAACAGATCTCCTTTGTTAAGCAAAGAGCACATTCCATCTACGTATCTTGGAAAGTTTATGAGGCTGCGAGGCAGTTGCTACAGTACTATTCAATCTTCTCTCTTGCCCTCTCCCTCTCCCAGTTATGGAATCTCTGGGAATTCTGCCTGCCATTGCCAAATAAACTATAAACCTGGTGGAGTTTTGAAAAAATATCTTCTTAAGAGGGAGGAAAGGGTGCCATTTTTGCAAGACAAATAGGCAATGTTTGCTGTGCCACCTGGCATCTGGGAAACATCCCAGGAAGGATTAGTTAGGTCAGTTAACAGAACAGAATAACAGAGTTGGAAGGGACCTTGGAGATCTTCTAGTCCAGGGGTTGATAACCTTAAACACTCAAAAAGCCACAAAGGTCCTAACAGGAAGCCCCCCCCCCCTTCAATTCTGGAGCCGATCAGAAGTCCGTTTTCCCCCACCATAGAGTCTCCTCCTAGCATGGCATCCTTTTCCCTCTACCTGTCCTAACCAAAAGCCCTATCAATTGTGGAGCCGACTGGCAACAGGGAGCCACAGCAGAGGCATGAAAGAGCCACATGCGGCTCCAGAGCCGTGGGTTGCTGACCCCTGTTCTACTCCAACCCCCTGCTCAGGCAGGAAACCCTATACCAGGGCTGTCAAACTCAAGGCCTGTGGGCCAAATCCGGCCAGCAGGGTGCTTAGATCTGGCCCACGGGGGCCCCCCAGGAAACAGTTAAGGACCAGCCGGCAGTGCCTCTTCCAGCAAAAAGAGACTTCAGGGAGTGTGTGTGCGGCCCTTCTGAGTGCCATCTTCACTGATACAGGAGGCCATCGCAGCTGGAAATGAAGCTTAGGAGCGCGTTTTCGCAGGCAGAGTGTTCAGGCCATCATAGACACTCCCGACACGAATGTCATCAATCTGGCCACGCCCCCCCCCCCCCGAGGTCAAACACAAGCCTGATGCGGCCCTCAATGAAATCAAGTTTGACATGCCTGCCCTATACCTTTTCAGACAAACGGTTGCCCAATCTCTTCTTAAAAACTTCCAACCTTTTCGACATACATTTCAAGTTTACAAACCAATGCAGCCAGAGTTCTAGGATGGGTTGTTAATAGAGATTTTGGTGCATGAGATGAGATCCTAGAAAAATTTCCTGCAAGGCACTTATAAAAGTAATTGCAGGAGTGCAAAAGTTTTTTGGAAATAAACCTCCCAGCACCAGCTGCCCCCATGCTGGTGAATTTCAGACATGTCCAGTTTGAATTTTCCAGGATTTTTAACTAGAAGGATTGCAATTCTCAGCATATCTGGAGAGCACCAGATTCTGGGAGAGAATGAAGATTTATATTCTACTAAGGTCGCCGACTTTTGCTCAGTTGTATTTTGTCTTGCTTTTCCTGAACTATGGGCCATACCTCCAGCACTGTGTGAAAGGGTAACAGAACCTGATCTGGAGGCAGGAAGGGGAGTGCAAGAGAAGTATTTTAAAATATCTTTGTCCCTTGGGCATCCAAGGAACCTAGCAGGCTGCAAAACACATACAGAGTCGGCTAAAAAATAATAGTTAAACAAATACCCCTATCCTGTAAGTGCACATTCAGCAGAGTTAAGCAGGCATGCAGGCTTAAAGCACTATCAGACTATAAACTCACACCAGAACAACCAGACACAAGAACAGTTTTTCCCCAAACGCCATCACTCTGCTAAACAAATAATTCCCTCAACACTGCCAAACTAGTCACTAAGTCTGCATTACTATTAGTCTTCTCATCGTTCCTATCACCCATCTCCTCCCACTTATGACTGGAGGACTGTAACTTTGTTGCTTGTATCCTTATGATTTATATTGATGGTTTCCTAGTATGATTTGATTGCTTATCTGTACCCTATGACAGTGGTTCCCAAACTTGGCAACTTTAAGACTTGTGGACTTCAACTTCAGCAGAGCTGGCTGGAGAATTCTGGGAGTTGAAGTCCACAAGTCTTAAAGTTGCCAAGTTTGGGAACCATTGCCCTATGACTATCATTAAGTGTTGTACCTTATGATTCTTAACGAATGTATCTTTTCTTTTATGTATACTGAGAACATATGCACCAAAAACAAATTCCCTGCATGTCCAATCACACTTGACCAATAAAGAATTCTATTTTTTTAAAACATTTCCCATTTTCTAAACAATCTCCAAAACTAGTGATATAACTGCAGTGACTACATTCATACAATATGCCAAACTAGGCTAAAATAAGTTGGGCAGTTTGTGGATTGTGACAACACACAGGTATTATCTTAGCATGCTAGGGATCTAGGCCATCATGTTAACTGCATGCAGTCCTCAACCATAAACAACCTACGACCATTTGCTTAATTCAAAGTTATGATGGTGGTAAAAAAAAAAGTGACTTACTTACAGGTCCACCCACTTATGACCAAAGTGTTCCTGCAGCCCCGTGATCAAAATGTGCTGCCTGGCAACCAGCATGTATTTCTGATGGTTCCAG